TCCTTGATTATTACTACCACTACCACTACAACTACTACTCTACGACCTACATACTATACGAATACTACTATACTACTACTACTAACCTACTACTATCTTCTTTCTTCAGAATCGTAATCATATTTATTATTATTATTATTATTATTATTAATTATTATTATTATTAATTATTAATTATTATTATTATGATTGATGATAATGATAATGATGATGATGATTATCATTCTTATTCTTATTATCAATGATTATTCTTCATTATTCTTATTCTGAAATTCTTCTCAATTATTACTTTCCTTTTTATCTTTTCCTTCAATCGGTTTGTTTCTTGCCATGTGAGAGTGAGTGCGTGAAGAAAGGCAGGAGGAAATGATTGATGATGATGATGATGATGATGATGATGATGATGATGATGATGATGATGATGATGACGATGACGATGACGATGACGATGACGATGACGATGACGAAGAAGACAAGGTCGAAGCTCAAAGTAGAAGAGGGAAAAAGTTGGTGATGGACGGGGCAGTGTCCATGAGCTCCGTACGGTTTCCAGGGCATTTTGCCGGGCCTCCGGGGGGGGGGGGGAACTGCTGTATGACAACGTACGGTTTCCAGGGCAAAATTTTTGCGAGGGCTGCGGGAAAAGGCGGGGGGATTTACGAGAATTAAAAATTCCCCCAACTGGCAACGGGGTCTTGCCCACGAAGGCGCGGTACAAAAAACCGGTTGCGGCGTCGACTAGCCCAGGGGAGAATAGCAGACGGAAGGCTCGGACGCCTGGGTTGCCTTCGGGATGCAAAGCCGGCGACCCTCGGCTCCGAGCAGCCCGGGGCCGAGGGAAAGGGGCGGTCGGTTGGGGTGGGGGGGTAGGGTGGGTAAATTGGGTAAGGGAATGGGGGAAAGTAAAGGGAAGGATAAGGGGGGTTGGTGGGGGGGGAAAAGGAAATAAAGGGGAAGGTTGGGGAGGGGGTAGGGGTTGACAGTGGGGAAGGGAAGGTAAGGGGGTGAAAGAACCCTCCGCACCTTCCTGTCCACTTCCTCTGAGCCCTCCACCCGGTGGGACAGGAGCAGCGGGAGGACCTGTCCCGGTCGGTATATGGTTGAACGGCCGCGCCGCATAAACCCTATATGTGGGGCGCGGCTGGTTCCTGGCCAGCGGACTGAGAGAAGGGGAGACGAGCGCGGGGCGAGGCGGCGGCCCCATAGGCGTCGCGTTGGGCGTGGCCATGGGCGCCGCTTCCCCCGGACCGTTCACGTCGTTGCGCAGGGGTTCGAGCTGATGCTGTGGCCGCAGTTTGTCTTTGGGAACAGGCAGGCATGGCAACCCGGCCGCCGCCGCCGCCTTCCCCGGCTGGGCGGGTGGTTGGCGGCAAGGGATGTCGAGCTGGCTGTGGCCGCAGTTGGTCTGTGGATGCGTCAAGGCAGGGCAAAACCGACCGCCGCCGCCGCCTTCCCGGGCGATGGGCGGTGGGTTGGCGGCAGGGGATCGCGCTGGCGGTGTCCTCAGTTGTTCTTTGGAGGCAGGCAGGCATGGCAACCGTGCCGACCGCCGCCGCCTTCCCCGGTCTTGGCGGTGTTGTTAAATGCGGCAGGGGATCGAGCTGGCGGTGGCCGCAGTTGGTCTGTTGAGCAGGCGCAGGCACCAACCGGCCGCCCGCCCGCCGCCTTCCCCGGCGTGGCGTGTGGTTGGCGAGCAGGGGATCTGATCTGGCGGTGGCCGCAGTTTGGTCTGGTGGAGGCGGGCAGGCCGGCAGGGCACCCGCCTGCCAGCCGCAAGCCTTCCCCGGGCGGTGGACGGTGGGTTGGCGGGCAAGTAGGATCGAGCTGATATCGAGAGCATTAATGGCGGTGGCCGCCGTTTGGTCTGTGGAGGCAAAAGGCAGGCATGGCACCGCCGCCGTCCGCGGCCTTCCCAAACCCGGGTGCGATGGCGTTGGTTTAGCGTTTAAGGAAGGGGGCGAGCTGTCTTTTGGCTCCTCGGAGCTCAGTTTGGTCCTGTTGAGGCAGGCAAGGTTCCACCGCCGCCGCCAGCTTTCGCCCGGGCGTGTCGTTTGGGGTTCAATCGGTAAGGGGGGTGGGCGAGCTGGACTGTGGCCGCATTTGTGTGTGCGGAGGGAACAGGCAGGAAGCAGGGCAAGCACCGGTCAGTAGCAGGCCGTCCGTTTTTCCGGTCCAAGCAGCGAGGGGATGAGTGGCGCATCGGCGGCGGCGGCGGTGCCCTGCCCTGCTGCCTGCCTCACAGACCAACGCCCGGCACAGCAGCTCGATCCCTTGCCGCCAACACCGCCACGGCCCGGGGAAGGCGGCCGGCGGCGGGCGGCCGGCGGCGGCGGCGGGGCCCTGCCTGACTGCCTGCCTCCAAGAACAATGCGCCACAGCAGCTTCGATCCCTGCCGCCAACCCCACGCCACGCCCGGGGAAGGGCGGCGGGGCGGCGGCGGCGGCGGCGGGGCGGTGCCCTGACTGACTGCCTGCATCCAAGCAACTGCGGCCACAGCCAGCTCGATCCCTTGCCGCCAACCCACCGCCACGCCCGGGGAAGGCGGCGGCGGCGGCGGCGGTGCCCTGCCTGCCTGCCTCCACAGACCAACTGCGGCCACCGCCAGCTCGATCCCTTGCCGCCAACCCACCGCCACGCCCGGGGAAGGCGGCGGCGGCGGCGGCGGCGTGGCCCCCTGCTGCCTGCCTCCACAGACCAACTGCGGCCACAGCCAGCTCGATCCCTTGCCGCCAACCCACCGCCACGCCCGGGGAAGGCGGCGGCGGCGGCGGCGGTGCCCTGCCTGCCTGCCTCCACAGACCAACTGCGGCCACCGCCAGCTCGATCCCTTGCCGCCAACCCACCGCCACGCCCGGGAAGGCGGCGGCGGCGGCGGCGGTGCCCTGCCTGGCCTGCCTGCCTCCACAGACCAACTGCGGCCACAGCCAGCTCGATCCCTTGCCGCCAACCCACCGCCACGCCCGGGGAAGGCGGCGGCGGCGGCAGGTGCCCCTGCCTGCCTGCCTGCCTGCCCTGGCCTGCCTGCCTCCACAGACCAACTGCGGCCACAGCCAGCTCGATCCCTTGCCAGCCCAACCCAACCGCCACGACCCGGGGATAGGCGGCGGCGGCCGGCGAGTGCCCTGCCCTGCCTGCCTGCCTGCCTGCCTCCACAGACCAACTGCGGCCACAGCCAGCTCGATCCCCTTCCGCAACCCACCGCCACCGCCCGGGGATGCGGCGGCGGCGGCGGTGCCCCTGCCCTCCTGCCTCCACAGACCAACTGCGGCCACAGCCAGCTCGAACCCCTGCCGCCAACCGACCGTCACGGCCGGGGGAAGGCGGCGCCCAGGCCGCCCGACCGCGACCGCCATGGGGCCGCCGCCTCGCCCCGCGCGTCTCGCTCTCTCTCAGCCGCTGGCCCGGACCAGCCGCGCCCCCAGTATAGGGTTAGCGGCGCGGCCGTTCACCCACCACGACCGGGAACAGGTCCTCCCGCTGCTCCTGTCCCACCGGGTGGAGGGCTCAGAGGAAGTGGGACCGGAAGGGGGAGGGTCACCCCCACCCCCTCACCCCTACCCCTCCCCAACCCCCCCCCCACCAACCCCCCTACCCCCACCCCCCACCCCCCCACCAACCACCCCTACCACCCCCACCCACCAACCACCCCTACCACCCCCCCCCCCAACCGCCGCCCCTTTCCCCTCGGCCACGGGCGCTCGGAGCCGAGGTGCCGGTTCCTCCCGAAGGCAACCCAGGCGCCGAGCCTTCCGTCTGCTATTCTCCCTGGGCTAGCGACGCCGGCAACCGGTGTACCGGCTTCGGGGCCAGACCCCGTTGGCAGGGGAAATTCTCGTAAATCCCCCGCCCGCAGGCCCCGCAAAATGCCCTGGAAACCGTACGGTGCTCATACGCAGTTCCCCCCCCCCCCCCCCGGAGGCCCGGCAAAATGCCCTGGAAACCGTACGGAGCTCATGGACACTGCCCCGTCCATCACCAACTTTTTCCCTCTTCTACTTTGAGCTTCGACCTTGTCTTCTTCGTCATCGTCATCGTCATCGTCATCGTCATCGTCATCGTCATCGTCATCGTCATCATCTCATCAGTCATCATCTCATCATCATCATCAATATCCCAATCATTTCTCCTCGCATTTCTTCACGGCACTCACTCGCACGTGGCAGAAGAACCAAACCGATTGAATGGAAAAGATAAAAGGAAAGTAATAAGTGAGAAGAATTTCAGCATAAGAATAAGGAAGTAATCAATCATTGATAATAAGAATACGAATGTAATCATCATCATCATCATTATCATTACTAATGCACTATATAATAATTAATAAATTAATATATAATAATTAATAAGAATAGATAATAAGAATAATAATAATAATAATAATAATAATAATAATAATTATTAAGAAGAAGAAGAAGAAGTAGTAGTAGTAGTAGTAGTAGTAGTAGTAGTAGTAGTAGTAGTAGTAGTAGTAGTAGTAGTAGTTGTAGTTGTAGTAATAATCAGGATGATGGCGGTGGAAGTAAGGAACATTGGAGAAAGGGAAGAGGAAGAAGGGGGTAAGGAAAATAATAATGAAAAAAAAAAAAAAAAATTAAATAAATAAAGACAGGGGGGGGGGGGGGGAGGAAGAATAAATAAATTTACCGCAATTGACCTATCTATCTCCGACCCGCGGAGAGAAGGCGGAGGGGGGGGGGGGGGGTAAAGCCCAGCAGAGGACTTGGTGACAAGATCTGCAAAAAACACCCGGTAGGGGGGGGGGGGGGGGCAGGAACAGAAAAAACAGGGCCGAAATTGCGGCTCCCCTCCACACACAACACCCAAAAAAAAAAACACTCGCACACTTTTCACGCACACATGCACATACACTTCTTGTTGTTGCTGCTGCTGCTGCTGCTGCTGCTGCTGCGTCTGTCCGCCCTTCCTCCTCAGTTTCAGGGGAGGGGGTTGTTCGCTCCGTCCGTTTTCCTCGCAGGTGGAGGACGAGGACGAGCGAGCATCCCCAACCGGGAGCTCCCGGAGGAGGAGGAGGAGGAGGAGGAGGAGGAGGAGGAGTTGCAGTTGGACAGGCCAACAAAACCATCCGACCGTAGGGGACGAGTCTCACTTAATCGCAGGAAAAGAGGAGCCTGCTCTAACCGGTACAACACCCCAGCCGATATGTCAGTCGTATGCAGACGGTTCGGTACGGCACACCGGACGTGTTTGCTCTGTATCGAGGCAGTGGTGTCCAAAGGGAGGCCCCCCTTCAAGCTCCGGGGCGGCGGCCCACCGCCCCCGGGCGGGAGCGGTTTGGCG